GCACTCGCGGGGACGCCCGGACGGCGCGGCGGCGGATCCCGCTCCTCGCGGGCGGCGGCGGTGGGGCTGGCCCCTCTCGCGGGCCGCGGGCGGGTTTCCCCTCGACGCCTCCCCCGCCAGTCACAAGACCCGGGTCACGTGGCGCGGCTCCCGGCGGGGGTGCGGCGTGGGGCGGGGCCAGACGTCATCTTAAAGGGGCCGTCCCGGGCCGCCACGCCGGCCACTTGTTGGCTAGACCCTGCGAGTCATCCCGATTGGCCTCCCTGCCCCGCATCCGCGACTCGTAGACCTCCGACCGCGAGGAGACACCCCCGACACACACACACAAGCCCGCAGATGCCACACTAGGGTCGCAACCATTACGGCCTGCGGACCCTGGGCCCAGCCTCTCCCACCCACCTCCCAGGGCGGAGACTCCCTGCGGGCTAGGAATCCGAACGCAGCACCCCAACCCACCACCGGGCAAGGGCAGGGGGCAGGGGGCAGGGGCCGGGACGGCCTCGAGGAGAGTCCTGGCAGAGCGAGTTCCAAGGCCGCCCACCGGTTGTCACCGCCCCCTGGACAGGCAGAGGGACCGGGAAACTACTGCAGGAAAAAGCGGGCGTGTGTCTGAACAGGGCCGGCTCGCGCTCAGCTGGGGATCCTTGGGTTTTCTTTTTGACAAATCAAATTAGGTAATTTAGAGTACTGGTTACAAATAACTCCCCCGCTGGGGACAAAACCCTAAATATTGGGCACCTACTGCATGACAGGCACTGTCCCATCATTGTTTCTCAGTTTTGTTCATTTCCGCAGCAACCCAGGCGGTACTTTCTTATCCCTAGTTTACAGAACAGAGACTGAAGCTCAAGACAGTAAGGTGACCTACACTTGACCGCCAATCATTGTCAGGCTCCTTCACACCTAACGCTTAGTGGGTTTGTGATAACACTAAAACAAAAGATCTGCAAGCTTGAGGCCCCTCACATTTGTAGCTCCTCTGCTGTGCCCATCCCTTTTCAGCGGCCTGCCTTCTGACCTAGCTGAGGGACTACAGCGCCTCTCAAGACATATCCCCCAG